TTGAACTCCCAACCTCAGGTGATTGGCCTGCCTCGGCCTCCCAAAGTGCTGCACTAGAACACTGCACCCAGCTACACTAGAACTTTTTAAAGGACATCAGTTTCTTCAAAGTTTTGAGTCTGTAAATTGTCAGAAATCCTAGTTTTCCCAAAAGAAAAGGCGGGAACTAAGTTCTTTCATGTAGTCTGTTTAGTTTACTTACTCCAGTATTTCATGCTCGGTGTTTCATGTTCAGTTCTTTATAGCTGAATTCCTTGTCTACTTTTTTTTCTTTAAGAGAAGAAGGGGGAACGTGAGGAATTATTCTGTTGTGATTTGTAATCAAGGTGCAATTTGTGGTGCATGGTTATATTCAGATCTAAGTTACGGTATTTAGAAATATGGTTCATCCAGGACTTGTGGCTCATACTTGTAATCCCAGAACTTTGGGAGGTGAAGCAGGTGGATCATTTGAGGTCAGGAGTTCGAGACCAGCCTGATCAACATGGCGAAATCCCATCTCTACTAAAAATACAAAATTAGCCGATGGTAGTGGTGCCCACTGGTAATCCCAGCTACTTGTGAGTCTGAGGCAGGAGAATCGCTTGAGCCTGGGAGGTGGAGGGTTGTGATGAGCTGAGATCATGCCACTGCACTATAGTCTAGCAAGAGAGTGAGACCCTGTCTCAAAAAAAACAAAACAAAACAAAACAAAAAAAAACGGTAGAAGAAATATTATGGTTCTGGGATGGTGTTAATCAGAAACTTTTAAAACCAGTTTAACTGAAATTTTTTCCTGATTACATAACATCATCTGTAGATACGCACTTAACACAAAAAGGTTAAGTGTTTATGGTGAGGTTATGTTTTCCTTTTTATGCTTTTCTGTACTTTGCATATTTTCTATAATGAGCTTGTACTATTTTTGTAATTGGGGAAAAAGATTAAGATAGCTATATAAGGAAGTACAATATTTCTCTGAACTGGCTTCCATGCTTTTAGTTTTTTCTTGTGTTTCTTGCTTCTTAAAAATCATCATTGGTGACCGGGCGCGGTGGCTCAAGCCTGTAATCCCAGCACTTTGGGAGGCCGAGGCAGGTGGATCACGAGGTCGAGAGATCGAGACCATCCTGGTCAACATGGTGAAACCCCGTCTCTATTAAAAATACAAAAAATTAGCTGGGCATGGTGGCAGGTGCCTGTAATCCCAGCTACTCGGGAGGCTGAGGCAGGAGAATTGCCTGAATCCAGGAGGCGGAGGTTGCGGTAAGCCCAGATCGCGCCATTGCACTCCAGCCTGGGTAACAAGAGCAAAACTCCGTCTCAAAAAAAAAAAATTAAAAATTAAAAATCATCATTGGTGGTCTGAAATGGTGGCTCACACCTGTCATCCCAGCACTTTGGGAGGCTAAGGAGGGAAGATCACTTGAGGCCAGGAGTTCAAGACTTGAGCAATGTAGTGATACCCCATCTCTACAAAAAAATTTGAAAAAAATAGCTGGGCATGGTGGCTTGCACTTGTAATTCCAGCAACTCGGCAGGCTGAGGCAGGAAGATAGCTTGAGCCCAGGAGTTCAAGGCTGCAGTGAGCTGTGATTGTGCCACTGCACTCTAGCCTAGGCAACAAAGTGAGATCATATCTCTTAAAAAAAGAAAAACAGGCCAGACACAGTGGCTCATGCCTGTAATCCCAGTACTTTGGGAGGCCAGGGTAGGCAGATCATGAGGTCAGGAGATCAAGACCATCCTGGCCAACATGGCGAAATCCTGTCTGTACTAAAAATACAAAATACTAGCCGGGTGTGGTGGCATGTACCTGTAATCTCAGCTACTCGGCAGGCTGAGGCAGGAGAATCACTTGAACCCTGGAGGCGGAGGTTGCAGTCAGCCAAGGTTGCACCACTGTACTCCAGCCTGGGCAACAGAGCAAGACTCTGTCTCAAAAAAACAACCCTTGGTTTCCTGTGGCCTACCAAATAAGAGTCCAATCCTGCCTGACCCCTAGGACCTTCACAGCTTGGCTGCAGCCTGCCCTTCCATTTCATTGCTGCCCTTCTCTTTCTACATATTTTCTTCAGTCCTTGAGTGTATTGTGTTCTTTGATATTCAATCTCTCAGTTGCTCAGAACAAAAATTCTTTTAGAATCACCTTCTTCTTTGACTCCCTTATACCAGGGAAGCTCATTTCCCACCACTTTCAGTGCCACAGTCCCAGTTACCTGAGTGGTTGTCAAAGCCTCCTAAATGACTTCCTGCTTCTATCTTGCTTCCACTGCTGTCAGTCCTCCACAGAGCAGCCAGATCATGTCAGTCTTCTGCCAAACACCCTCTGGAAGCTCCTCACCTCACTCAGAGTAACTACCAAAGGCCTTCCACGGGCCTGAGAGCTTCGGGTAACCTGGTCACACCTCTCCGACCTCATCCCTTCTCTCTTTCTAGTTTCACCCCAGATACTGGCATCCTTTCTGTTCCTCAGTTGTACTTAGCGTATACCCATCTCAGATATCATTTCCTCATCCTTATAAGTTGTCTTTGCTGGTTTCTTCTCTGCTCCTTATACAGAAGCATTGCATAGGGCACTGTCTGTAGCTCTCTTCTTGGCTTATTCTGAATATGCCCTCCAACCCCTGTGACTGCATCTGTCCCATGCTTTTGACCACTGTTGCTACACTGACAACTCCCAAATCTGTCATTTGCCTAGATTTTCTCCTGAGTCCCTAGCCTATATTTCCATCTCTCGCGCATCCCGTGCCACATATGCAAAATCCTGCTCAATATTAACCTCCTCCCCAAGGTAACACAGCAGGACAATAAGCAGTTGTTTCCCACAGCCTCCCACCTTGGTTGATGAGCCACCTGGTCATTTAGGGCAACACTTGGGAGTCATTCTCAACCACTTCCTCTCCCATAACACAGCCAGATCCGAATGGGCACCAGCTTCTCTCTCATATAGCTCTTGTGAACCCATTCCTTTGTCTCAGTTTTCACTGCCCCACCATAATTTAGTCAGCGTGTTCAATCTTGGTTTCCCTGGGCCACACTGGAAGAAGAAGGAATTGTCTTGAACTACACATAAAATACACTAACACTAATAATAGTTGAGAGAGAAAAAAAAAAATCACACAAAAAAAATCTTACAGTTTTAAGAAAGTTAAAGAATTTCTTTTGGGCTGCATTCAAAGCTGTCCTGGGCCACAGGTTGGACAAGCTTGGTTCAGATCTTCATTATTCCCTCCCCAACCCCTTTCTTTTTGAGATAGGATCTTGCTGTGTTACCCAGGCTAGAGTACAGTGATGCAGTCATGGCTTACTGCAGCCTTAAACTCCTCAGCTCAAGCAGTCCTCTTGCTTCAGCCTCCTGTTATCTAGGACTGTAGGCACATGCCACCGTGGCTGGCTAACTTTTAAAAATGTTTTGTAGAGACACAGTCTTACTATATTCTCTAGGCTAACTCCTGGCCCAAGCAATCCTTGTGCCTCAGCCTCCCAAAGTGCTGGGATTGTAGGCATGAGCCACCATTCCTGTCCTCATTTTTCTCTTTATGGTACAGTCCTTAGGAGTATGGACTCTGAAGCCAGACTGCATACATTCTAATTTTGTTTTTCTTTTTTGTTTTGTTTTGAGATGAAGTCTCACTCTGTCACCCAGGCTGGAGTGCAGTGGTGCAGTCTCAGCTCAGTATAACCTCTACCTCCTGGGTTCAAGTGATCCTCCCACTTCAGCCTCCCAAGTAGCTGGGATTACAAGTGTGTGCCACCATGCCCAGCTAATTTTTGTATTTTTAGTAGAAACAGGTTTTCACCATGTTGGCCAAACTCCTGACCTCAAGTGATCCACCTGCCTCAGCTTCCCAAAGTGCTGGGATCATAGATGTGAGCCACTGTGCCCCGCCCATTCTAATTTTTGATTTGCCACTTAGTTTTATGACCTTGGTCAAGTTTTGTATCTTCTCTGTACCTTGGTTTCTGTATTGGTAAAATAGGGATAATAATTGGTTATGAGGATTAAGTGATTTAACAGATAAAAAGTGCTTAGAACAGTGCCTGACACATCATGGTGATGTTATTTTGACTGTTGAAATAGCCACCTAGCTGGCTTCTGTAGCTATTCCTCTTCTAAAGCCTTTTCCACTCTGCTATTGAATCAGCTTTCAAAAATGGACATCAGACGACATCCTTTCTTTCTTTTTCTTTTTTTGAGATGGAGTCTTGCTCTGTTGCCTAGGCTGGAGTGCAATGGCATGATCTTGCCTCACTGCAACCTCCACCTCCTGAGTTCAAGCAATTCTCCTGCCTCAGCCTCCCAGGTAGCTGGGATTACAGGTGCATGCCACCACACCTGGCTAATTTGTATCTTTAGTAGAGATAGGGTTTCACCATGTTGGTCAGAGGCTGATCTCGAACTCCTGACCTCAGGCGATCCGTCCACCTCAGCCTCCCAAAGTGCTGGGATGACAGGTGTGAACCACCACACCTGGCCACATTATTCCCTTTCGAAAGTCGTTCTGTGGTTTCCCTAAATCTGACCACTACTTATAGACTTAGCTCATCTCTATGGTCCCTTTTTTCTTTCTCTGTTATAGCTGTATTATAAATAATTGACAGTTTTTTGAATATGCTTTGATCTTACATCCCTTGGCATCTTTGCATATGTTGCTTCTTCTTCTACTTGAAGTGCCCTTCCTTCCCTGGTGTTATTTACAAGTCTTTAATGATCAGTCCAGACTATGTCTAAACTTCCTGTGGAAACCTGGCCCTCTCCATGTAGAGCTGATCACTCCCTTCACACTCGCCATAATATATCGCCATCATTTATCTCTACTATCTGTCAAGCAGAGAAACAAGACAGTGAGCTTTAGCTCCATGGTGGTGGGAGATAGTCTCCTCCTCTTCCTCTTGTGATGCAGGCCTTTGTATAGTGATTAGCACAGAGCACATGCTCTATAAACATGGTTGAATTAGTAATCACATGTTCAGAAGTTTACTAAGATTTCTCTACTACTTTTCTCCAATTTCTCCAGACTGCAAGAGTTAGTTGATCGAGTGCTGGAACGTTTCCAGGCATCTGGACTAATAGTGAAAGAGTGGAATAGTGTGAAACTGCATGCTACAGTCATGAATACACTATTCAGGAAAGACCCCAATGGTAAGTTTCCCAGAGAACTATAGCACAGTTTGTGATCAGCAGCCTTGCGGTATCTCTGAGGTTTATATAGAATGGACTATCAAAGAATCTCTGATATATCTTGTTTTCTAGACCTCTTAGCATATGCTGATGAGCATGGTAGAAGTGGGCAAGAACATATAAAGCATGGGACTGTGGCTTCCAGATCATTTATTTCTGTCACACATAGGATCGCCAGATTTAGCAAATAAAAATGCAGGATGCTCTGGTAAATTTTATATAAACAGTGAATAAATTTTTGGCATAAGTATGTCACATGCAATACTTGGTGGCTTTTTTTTTTTTTTTTTTTTTTTAAGAGGGAAAAGAAAGGAAGGTGAGCTAGTAAATGTTAGATCAGTGTTTCTCAACTAGGGGTGATTTGCCCCCAGAGAACATTTGGCATTGTCTGGAGACATTTTTGGTTATCATAGTTAGGGAGCTGGAGATGGGTTGCTGCTGGTACCTAGTGGGTGCTGTCTTAACACTACAATGCATGGGACAGCCCCCCATGACAAAGAAATCTTCTTCCCAAAATGTCAATAGCACAGAGGTTGATAAACCTTATGTTAGGATAATAAATTTTTTCTTCATGGACTCTGAGCCTTTTTATAAAACTGCCTTGTTTTAATCCTTGATTTGGGTATTTATTTCAAAAAGAATTTTTCTTTTCTGTCTGTCCTACCTCCAAAGTGAAAGCTTCTCTAGTACCTTCAACCTCTGATCAGAAGTTACAAGTTCAAGCCATATGCAGCTGTTTCTTGCAAGACCTGTGGTTCAAAATACACTAGCACCAAGATCACGTATTCCAGTTTCATTTCCTTTCTTGGGCCCCAACCTTGGTTTTAGAAAATCTAGGGCTCATGCCTGTAATCCCAGCACTTTGGGAGGCTGAGGCAGGTGAGTCACTTGAGGTCAGGAGTTTAAGACCAGCCTGGCTAATGTGGTGAAACCCTATCTCTACTAAAAATACGAAAAGTAGCCAGGCGTGTTGGCATATGCCTGTAATGAGAGGCTGAGGCAGGAGAATCACTTGAACCCAAGAGGCAGGTTACAGTGGCAGTGAGCTGAGATCGTGCCACTGCACTCCAGCCTGAGTGACAGAGCAAGACTCCGTCTCAAAAAAAAAAAAAAAAAAAAAAAAAAAAGAAAGAAAGAAATCGGAAATCTAGGTGGGAAAAGAACTTCATCAGGACTTGAAGCATTGACTGTAAGTTTTTAATTAGGCCAATTTGTGTGTTCCCTTTAGTTAAGGCACGTTTTTTAATCTCTCTCAGATACGTACCAAAGATCCCAGCTGGAAATCATTTGATATTAACCCCATTTGGTTAGAGCCATTGTAGGACCAAGAAATATGTAGCCATCTAGTTATTAGTTCTAAAATATTACTATTTTGTGATGCCATATTGAATTTTATTTAAAAATTATGAATAAATCTCTTTTACTTTTGAGAACACTGAGATTAAAAGAGCTTCAGATAACTCAGTCAAAGACTATATATATACTCTTGTTTGGGTAGGTAATAAAATCTAAAACTTTGAACTTGTTCCAGTTGAGCATATTTCTTTTTTTGTTTTTTCATCTCACTCTGTCACCCAGGCTGGAGTGCAGTGGTGTGATCTTGGCTCACTGCAACCTCCACCCCTGCCTGGGTTCAAGTGATTCTTCTGCCTCAGCCTCCCGAATAACTGGGATTATAGCATCTGCCACCATGCCCAACTAATTTTTGTATTTTTAGTAGAGACAGGGTTTCACCATGTTAGTCAGGCTGGTCTTGAACTCCTGACTTTGTGATCCACCCACCTCAGCCTCCCAAAGTGCTGGGATTACAGGCATGAGCCACCGCACCCAGCCCAGTTGAGCATATTTCTTTCCTTCAGGAAGTAATAATACAGGAAGTGGGAATATTTTAGATACCTAGGTATTATAATGTAGCTTGTCCAATGGAAATATTTAACTAGGTTTGTGCTATTTGTTTTATTTGGGACAGTATATTTTAATTTTGGAAAACAGTGAGAATCCTCTGTATATTTTAACATCATTATGTAAAGGCAGAGTTTCAGAACTCTGTAAGTGTACTCTAAATTTATTGGTTCAGAAGACATATATTGTATTTTAGATAACTGTCTGTGATAATGGAAGTATTCTGTATCTGTGATGTCTAATATGGTAGCCACTAGATACATGTGGTTATTGATTGCTTGAAAGGTGGCTGGTGAGACTGTAAAAGTGAACTTTTATTTTTAGTTTTAATTAAAATTTACATAACCACATCGATAGTGGCTACTGTTTTGGACAGTGCAGGTATAGACAGTATTTTATTAGACATTTATTAGCTGTCAGTACATTTTGCATTTGTCTTAGTACTTAAATATTTGTCCAGAACTCTTAAAACTATATCATGGTCCATTATTAACTAATCTCTTCACATAGAAAGAGTTCAGTTATATAGGAATCTGTATATTCTAGGTTCTATGGATCCAGGTTTATATTCAGTTAGTACTGGAGGTTTATATAAGAGAATGTTGTGTGTTCACAGTCTGGTTATCCCTCTAACTGCAGATTTTCAAAATATAATCGCTTTATTGGGATATAGTTCACATACTATATAGTTTACTCTTGATATATGTAATTTAGTGGCTTTTAGTATGGTTAAAGTTGTACAGCCATCACCACAATCAGTTCAACATTTTTATCACCCTAAAATTAAACTCCATGCCCATTGGCAGTCACTTGCCATTTCTTCCTACCCCTCTCACCCTGCCCTCCTCCAACCTCCACCAAGCCCTAGGCACCACCAGTCTACGTTGTGTCTCTATAGAGCTGCCTGTTCTGGACATTTCATGTAAACAATCACTCAGTATGCGATCTTTTGTGGCTGACTTCTTTCACTTAGCATAATGTTTTCAAGGCTCATCCATGATATAACATATAAGTACGTCATTCTTTTTTTTTTTCTGTGTGTGTGTGTGTGTGTGTGTGCGTGCGTGTGTGTGTGTGTGTGTGTTTGAGACAAGGTCTCTGTTGTCCAGGCTGGAGTGCAGTAGAGTGATCTCGACTCTCTGCAACCTCCACCTCCCACACTGGAGAGATTCTCCCGCCTCAGCCTCCTAAGTGTTGGGACTACAGGCGCATGCCACTACACACAGTTAATTTTTAAGCTTTTTTATAGAGGCGAGTTCTCACTATATTGCCCAGGTTGGTTTCAAACTCCTGGGCTCAAGCAATCCTTCTGCCTCAGCCTCCCAAAGTGTTGGGATTACAGATGTGAGCCATTGTGCCTGGTACTTCATTATTTTATGGCTGAATAATGGTCCATTGTATGGATATGCCACATTTTATGTATCCATTCATCAATTGGTGGACATTTGTGTTGTTTCCACTTTTTGATATTTATTTGGTATTAATTTGTTCTTCTTTTGCAACTTCACACAGTCTTTTTCTCTTAACAGGGGACCTATTTTTAAGTTGTGAAATATGCATGGGATTGGGATCTTTGATTAAGAGCATTCATCTCATTAGAGAAATAGTTCCATAGTTACCCGTGTACAACTCCAGTGGGCTAGCTGAAATGTATTATGTATTATGTTCATGGAGTTGTTAAAACTCTAGATATATTTGATCAATTTTGGCTTCATATACTCCTTACTTATAAAAGTAAAAGAACATACTTAAAGGTGGAAATAAGTATTTTTGAATGTCTGTCAGTTAGTAAGAAATGGTTAATATTTCAGAAAATATTCTGAGTTAATTCTTGAGGATACTTTGAATGTTTTGTACTCTGGACTCTCCTGTATTGAATTTTTACTTGAAAAGGACATGAAATGATGTTACATATTTTTCTTTCCTGTTTCCCTCTCCTTTGATATTCTTTTTATTGCCAACCTTTAAGGATCTCTTTTGAGATACGCAACCCAAATTAACTCAAGAAGCTAGAGCACAGCTTGATTCAGCCTAAGATCTTAGATTTGGGGCATTCCTGTGTAGAATGTCTGTAAGGATACCTTTGATTGCAACTAAAGGGCTCTTTTTCCTTTGGGGGAAGTTCTTAAATCAGCCCAGAGCACGATTGCTAGCAGTTTTGACTGGCTAATGTGTGAACTCTTATTTATTTTTACATATTTAATTATATGCCCCTTATCTTAGGTCTGTAGAACGTAAGGAACCTTTGAAAATTACTCAGTCCTACCTCTCACTTTGTCAGTGAAGAACTAAGGTCTATGATAGAGACATAATTTGCTTAAGAATGTGGCTAGTTGCATAGTTAGGAATATACAGTTAGTGCCTGGAGAATGTCAAATGAATAAATTAATGAGTAAATGTATATTGAATGAATCTATGACAGAACTGAGACTAGAAGACAAGTCTCTCGATTCATAGCCTGACGTTTTTCCTCTGCATTATGCCACTTTCCAGGTAGTATATGAAAATTTTTCTAGTTGTACCTATGTACCTATAGAAATCCAAGAGAAAACAACCAACTAACCTAAGCTTCTAACATTATCTTTGGAATATTTACAGCTGAAGGCAGGTACAATCTCTACACACCAGATGGCAAATACATCTTCAAGGAAAGAGAATCATTTGATGGCCGAAACATTTTAAAGGTCAGTATGAAGCAGAGTGAATTGAAAATCCTTTGGCACGTGTCCTAAATAAGGGAGGAAAAATAATAGTTCTCCTTTTAACAATACAGTATATTTTTCTCATACTTCTTCATACCTTGTCTCATACTTGTTAAAATTTAATTATCTAAAGGGTAAGAAAGGAAAAGTAGGTGGTCCTCTTAAGGCTTTGGCACTTCTAGAGTACTTGAAATTGATTTGTTTGTTTGTTTGTTTGTTTATCTGAGACAGTGTCTCGCTCTGTTTCTCAGGCTGGAATGCAGTGGTGCAAACACAGCTTACTGGAGCCTTGACTTCCTGGGCTCAGGTGATCCTACCACCTCTGTCTCCCAAAGTACTGAAATTGTAGTTGTGAGCCTCTGCACCCTGCCTGAAATTGGTGATTTAAGAAAACACTGATGAAAAGAAAAAAAAAAAGAAACAATTATGTATTCCAGCTACTTGGATTCATAGAAATAAGTTGATTTCAACCTAAGTTTTACTCTGTACTTACCTCTGGAGGTTTGAGTTTGCATTTTTTTAAGTAGAAAATAATTATTTGTCTTGTTCCAACAGATTTTTCTCTTGACGCACAAAGTCAGTCTCTGAAGTGGCTTTATAATCCATTTTGACTCAGATACAGCCTATGTCCTAAAAAGTAGATGGTGCATTTCTGACTGTTGAGGCTTTGCCTTTCTAAGTGTTGAATTAATCTACAAAATGTATGTAAAGGGGTTCTTCAGGATTATTTTTATCTTTCTCCAACAGACTACCCTTCTGCAATATTCATGATTTATGCCTTCTCTATCAGGTTAACATGCCATCATTCCTCTGGACAAAGAGAAACATAAGTTGATACTAATGGAGAGGTTTTCAAGTCTTTTTTTCATTTGCTCTGTAAGGGTTTAGGTCATTCTCAAGGCTGTGGGTGTTTTGCTGAGGTGGAAGGGAAGTATATAATAACATCAGAATAAGCTTTAGCTTGAGAAATGCTTGTACTTTTTCTTCCCTATCCCATCCTCCATTCCCTTATCTTGTCGCTTTACAGTTTCTTGCCCAATACTGAATGTGACCCCATTGCCTTAATTAATGATATCACTCTTCAACAGCTGTGACTGCTTACCGTGGAGCCCAATAGGGCAGTGCCAGCCATCAACTCAGACAGGCATTCCAGCACCCACGTTGCAGAGCTATGCCAAAGTCCTTCCTTTCCTTGATACATTTTCTCTTTTTGAGTAGTTTCTTGTTTTTGAGGTAGCTTTGCGTTTGAGTGGCAGGCTGCTAATGAATTCAGCTGTAGTTAACTTTACTGTTTTTCCCAGGCTTCAGCTTCGGTGTGATATGAATCTTTATCTTTTATCTCCCTTCTTTGGGGATTTTCCAGTATCATCATGAATTACTTTGCTTTTTGTTCTTGTTAATTTGGTTAAGAAAGAAAATAGACTGAATGGGGAAAGAAATCTTTAGGAATGGCTCAAAGCCAACTGGCTTTTCATGGAATTAAAACTGAAGCCTTGTGTGTTGGTGCAAGTCAGGTGTGAGGTGCTTCGACATCTGTAAGAGTGGGATGATGAGAGAGCCTGTTGGGTGGCTGTATGAGTGTGGACCTTTAACCTTGGTATGGAATTTCTCTTATTCTGCAAAGTAAGTTTTCCATTTAAAAATGCTTTTTACAGAAATCTTCTGAACCACCCCAGTGATGACATGAATGTAGCTCCCTCTAGTGTTGACAAGGACTTGCTGTATCAGTATACCCTTAATAATTCAAACCCCAGTCACTTTTAGTGCCGGACCTAGCTAGGTTCTTAGAGACCATTTAGTCCAATTCCCCACTTTAATCTCTGACACGAGATCTACTAAGGTAAAGTGACTTGCCAGAGGTACCGCTAGTTAGTAGCAGAGTCTGAATCAGAGCAAAAAGACTCAAAACTCACTAACTGAGCATTGTTTTCTGCTGCCTCCCATAAAGATGCTCAGTGTTTAGGTAGAGAACATTACATACTTGACATTGGGCATATCTGCCTGAACTGGGATAATGTCCAATTAAAACTTGTTTAATAAATGGTGGGGCAGTGAGTGTGCCAATTAGTCTAAAACCGTAGCTAGTTAATAATTAGACTTTTGTACTGAATATAATACCAACACTAACAGAAATACTTAATGACTGTATACCATCTGCCAGACTATGCGCCCTAAAGATGAGAAACAGTCATTATGATACAATCCCAGCCTTCTAGGAGCTTCCAGTCCATGAGAGAAACAGATAGTTAATAGGCAATTAGAATATAAAAACCATGGCGCGAGTTATGGACAAGTGCCTTTGACCACAGATAGTTATGACGAAGTACCCTTTAGTATAGTTTCTAATGTTTTACTCCTTAATCACTAGTTCCAGAAAAATAACCTATCACCTATGTTCAATCAAGGGAATTAACTTCTTTCTTAAAGTAAAGGTAAATTGTGGGCCTCAACAGTTACCTCCCAACCCCAACATAGGCAATTAACTATGTTTGTGAAGTATTAGTCCACCCACCTTTTGGCATTACCATGAATGGACATGTCTTTCTCAATTAAAACGTGACTCCATGGCCAGTGAAGCCCTTAAAATAAAAAAAAAGGATTTAGAAAACCAGTGGACTTTATTTATATAGTTTTTGTATGTTATGAAATTATTATGTTTAGAAAGAAAAAATCAATTTCACTAACAAGATAGGAACGGACTTGGAGTAAACAGAAAGGTTACCCGCATTGGTTGTTAAGGAGCCTAAGCATACGTGTGCAGCATATTAACAGCTGCATAGGCCAAGGATCAGGAACGCTGGTGATGGGAGGCAGCCTTAGAAAAAAAATCAGCTTCATCTACTTTTCAAAGAGAAACAAAACGAGAAAGAAAGTCATTGCTCATGCTCTAAGAATTTAATGAGTAACAGCCAATTGCTATTCTACTCCATGAAGAAAATTGGTTCTGTTGGCTTGGTATGATATTATGTGTTCTGGGTGCCTTAATAAGAAAAAAAAAAAAAAAAAGAAATCTTTAATGACTATTGGAGGTGGAAGCCACATTTTTCTTTTGTACAGCTTTTTTGAGAGTTGTTGCAGCTGTAATATACTAGTGTCTGGTTATTCCTAGTTAAAATATAAGATTTTTTTTTCCTTGGGAAAGACTGAATTAAGAATTGACACCCAGAATAATTCTCCTGTGTTATTCAAACCTGAAAAGGAACAAACGTATTTGGTTATAGTGGTTTTTATGGAAGAGTGCCAGATAGCTCCAAGAGGAGGATGCATGAGTGAAGAAGACCTAGGTCAAATTCATAGGATGGCATCCCCTCAGAGAGTGTCCATTTCTAATCTAAGAGGTAACAAAAAGAGATACTGTTTGACAGCCACAGACAGTGATACATTTATAAATGGAGAAATCATGCTGACCTAAAGACACACTGCCTGGAAGTACCTGTTCCCTCACTAGCTAGAATTAGAATGGTCATTAGCTGCCCGCTTTTGGGGAGAGAGGTAATGACAGTCCATTTGGGGTCTTAAGCAATAGAATCAGTATTCCAAGATTGTGCTCTCAGCAGATTGAACCAGAGGTACCATATTAACTGTTCAAAAGCATAGCTTCTGACTGCAGGGTGAAGAGGAGGCGTCAGAGCCCTAGGATGTACTCATTAGAGAAGGTGATATGGTACAAATAAAGGCACAGTGATGTATTTGGGAAAGAATGGAAAGTACTGTAGGTCTAAAATCAAAGGATAGTGTAAAAGTGCCATTTCTTTAGACACTTAAAAATCCTGGAAAATATAAGCCATGTAAAAAGGAGATGAATTTGTACCTTTTCTATTTTATATATAAGAATCCCAGGTATTTCATTCATTTTGGTTTTGTCCCATCTCTGTTCTTTAGAGCCTTTAAAAGGACAATTAGAATGAATAAATTTAAATGAGATCTTTAGTTTGCTTTAGTTAGAGAAATTTTTATGAAGGAAACTGTAAAAAATACTGTTCATTCTTTTTTACTGAAAAATATATTTACATACATGAGTCATACATTTACTGTTTAACAAATAATCATAAAGTGAACAGTGTGACTACTACCAAGCTCAAAGAGTAGAGTCTGCCTCCCATGCCCCTCTCGGGGCTCTTTAGTCAGTCTGTCCTAAGGGAACAAAAGCACAATTAAAGTCTTAAACACTCTCAGGGGAGAGGCTTGTTTTGAGTGAATATTTTGTTTTCCAGTATTAGAAGAGTGTTGAAAAGATAAATTTAGCGTTTTGTTGTTGTTGTTGTTGTTGTTGAAAAGATAAATTCAGTTTTTCTTTTTAGAGGACAGAGAAGAGAGGTTCACAACAAAACTGAGCAGAAAGTACAGTGTTCCCAAATACCCCATCCCTGCAAATGCACGACCCCGACTATTGGCATCTGACACCACCCTGGTAGATGTTTACACTTGATAGACTACATTGTCGCATCATCATCCACAGTCCGAAGTTTGCATTAGGATGCACTTTGAGTTTCTCTTCTGAGTTCTCTTTTCAATTGTATTCATTTGTGCTCTGATTTTTAAAATTATTTCTTTTCTTCTGCTTAATTTGGATTTAATTTGCTCTTACTTTTCTAGTTTCCTAAGGTAGAAGCTTAGATTATTGATTTTATATCATTCTTCTTTTCTAACATATGCACTAAATACTATAAATTTCCCTCTAAGCACTGTTTTGATGCACCCTACACGTTTTAATAAGTTGTATCTTCATTTTCATTTAGCTTAAAATATTTTAAATTTCTCTTGATGTTTGTGTGTGTGTGTGTGTGTGTGTGTGTGTGTTTTGTGTGGGTTTTTTTGTTTTTGTTTTTAGTGTGTGTGTTTTTTGTGAGGTTTCCTTTTTAAAAGTTAATTTTTAATTTCTTTAGGTATAGGGCTTCATCGCTCTGTCACCCAGGCTGGAGTGCAGTGGCACAATCATAGCTCATTGCAGCCTCAAACTCATGGGCTCACTCAAGTGATCC